GGGAGAAGCCGATTCAAAAATCCACCATTTTCCAGACGGGAATGAGCTGGAAAAGCAGCGCCCTCTGGCGGCCGCTCGTTAGGACTACACGCAATGGATTTTTTTTTTTTTTTTGCTCTGCTCGCCCCGCCCACTTCAGGAAAAAGGCGCAAGCGCGTACGTACGTGCTGCGAGAAGAGCGCAGCGTTGGCGCTGAAGGGCTCTCGGAAGACCTTGATGAGGAGCTCCAGCTGCCGCAGGAAGTGGCGCCCGTCGGCCATGAAGCCGCGCACCAGCTCGTGGTAACTCTGCTCCTCGTCGGCCGACGGCTCCTCGTCCGTCGGCGGGACGTCGTCCTCGTCCTGGTGGAACATGTCCATCAGCACCTGGGGACACGCGCGCACATTTCCCACGTGAACGCGCCGTCGGGCGGGGGGGCGGGGCACGGCGGCGCCGGCTTCCGACGCGGATTCCGTCGTCATTTCTTGGCCGGCGCTACCTTGTCGGCGCACATGGCCACGGCGATGTCCTGCTGCGAGATCTCGTAGTGGCGGATGTTGCGCACGTAGTTCCCCGCCAGCTTGAGGATGTCGGCCGAGATGTACTCCAGCACGGCCGCCATGTAGACCGACACCTGGTGGTCCACCTTGTAGCCCAGCACCTCCTGGCGGCACAAGGCACCGTGGGAGGGCGGCGTTTGCCTTCCTCCGGCCCCGCCGGGGGGCGGGGCTTACCTTCAGCAGCGGGTGGATCTTGTCCACGGGCAGCGCCAGCGGGTTCCTGCGCTTCCTCTTCTCGATGGCGGCCTGGGCGTCGGCGATGGCCCACTTGTCGATGGGGTGGGGGAAGGTCTTCTGGACCCGCTCCTGGTCGGACGGACACGTGCCACGTGACGCCACGCGACCCCGCCGCGCGTGTACGCGTGCGCGCCTCACCTCCACGTCCTGCACGCTGCGGGGCTGAGCCTGACACAGCATGCTGAGCAGCAGCAGGATCAGCTCCTCGATGTATTGCAGCGCCTCCTGCTGGGACACCAGGTTAGGGTGCACTTGCTTCAGCACCTGACACACACACACACACACACACACAGCCTGGTGAGATTAGTTTGGGACTTCCCATTATTCAGTTGTTCGTCATTTTCATTCGTCATGAGGGGGGGGGGGGCACATCGCCGTATTTCCGGGATATCCCATTCCATCGGCAGCGGCGCCACTTTTCACGGGATAGCGAACAAGACAGACGCACTTGTAGTTTGGTACGGCCGGCGACCGGCGACCACTCTGTCGCCGGTCCGCCCGTCCCTCCGCAATCGGCGCTTTTCAGGGAGAGCCCACAAACGGAAGGTGGATTGAACCATAAACGTGGCGTCGCGGTCGAAAGAACAGCCGCCGATGGGTGAAAATCGAGCGACCGCTCCGACGGTGGCCGGCGACCGATCCGGGGCGCAAGCCCGCCTCTCCCTCCGAGTCGGCCGGGATCGACTCCGGACGCCAAATGGACGCGAGCGATCGCGACCGCGGAACTCCTTCGGGTCGGTGCTGGTGGATGCCGTGACGTCACCGGGCTGGCATGACGCCCCACGAGCCTCGACGGACCCGGACCGCGGAAAGGGAAGTATGCGACAAGTGGCCCGCGCTCGGGCGTTACCTTGTCCAGAGCCGGAACCAGCAGGCCTCGCCATTTGGCGGCGTTGTCGTCGCTGAAGAAGTCGTACTGCTGCTGGGCCGCCTGCATGGTGGCGGTGGTGGTGTTGTTGTTGGGGGGCGTGGGGCGGGAGCTTCGGGGCTTGGCTGCTCGGGTGGCTTTACGTGGACGGCGGCCGAGCGGCGGCGGTTCCGGCGGAGCGAGGAGCCTCGGCACATCCAGCCTAAAGCATCCTCCGCGCCCGCCAGGCGCGACGCCGCGAGCTAGCCGTTAGCCGGCCAGCTAGGCGGCTAATTGGACGCTCGGACCGCTAGCCGCGCCATGCTAACAAGCGGTTAGCCACTTGACGGCTTCGCGAGCGAGCGAGCTAGCTGGCCGGCCGGCCGACCGGCTAGCGGGCGGCGGGCAAACGCTTGCTTGCTTTGGGCTGGCCGGACGGTACCCGGTGACGTGCCTCGGCGGCACCGGGGAGGGTTCGGAACGAGCGACTGCGGTGGCGGCCGGTTCTTCAGGTGGAGGAGGAGGAGGAGGAAGAGCCAGGAGTGGGGCGGGGGGGGCGGCGGCACCACTCGCGGGAGCGTCCGTTCGTCCGATTTCGGTCCGCGGATCCCGTCCGAGCGGCCGTCGGCGAAGTGGGAGGCGCTTGCCTGCGTGCGCGTCATCGTGCCCGCGCGTCGCTCGTCGACGGCAGGTCTTGTGCAATGACGTCATGACGCACTGGCGCGCGACTTTGAGCCCGAGTGGCGCGTGCGTGCGTGCGTGCGTGCGTATGTGTGTGTGTCTTAATTTTCCCGTATGATTTTATTGACATTATTCTCGTGTGTGTTGTTTATTGATCTGGATTTCAATGTGGTGAACTGGAAAAAGTCATTGGAAAAAAAAAACAGTGAAAACTCCACAAATAATTGCCGCTCATTATATTTGCCTTGAAAAAAAAAAAAAAATGTTTTCATTCAAAAAAAAAGAAAATAAAAAAAGGCCCCTACCAAATCCCCGCCCAAATAAGGTGCAAAAAAACGTAAATAAGCCCAGGATCCGTCAAACAAACAAATGGCGTCATCCAAATGAAACGCCGGCACCAAAGAGCACGCGCGGTGTCCTCACAAAGCCACATTTTGGTGCTCGGGCGCCACGAGAAAAGAAAAAAGCAAAATACTCGAGTCTGTGTAGCCACATCACAAAAATAGTTGTCGAATATTCTCCAGATTCTCTCGGAAATCGTGGCGGAAAACACACACGCTCACACGCTGTTGAAAGGTTGATTTAATCGTGGCGGAACACACACACACACGCTCACACGCTGTTGAAAGGTTGATTTATTTTGGATTTTCACCAGACGAGTCAGTGCAACATATCCACAGCAGCCGTTTTTAACATTGGCATGAACAGAAAAGACCCCCCCCCCCCCAAAAAAAAACAACAACAAAAGAGGCCACTGAGTCAGGGAGGGGGGGGGGGTGATGCACTCTTG